CCTCACCGGCTCTCGAAGAATGATAGGATGTTTGGCCTAGAGTAAGTCCGATGAGAAATTTGACCCCTTACCCATGTATGTGGTAAGAGGCGCCAATTGCCACTACACTACCTCCACCACTTCATAATTCCATTATACTCCAGAGGGGCGGAAATGGTGTAGTGGCAAGTGGCGCGCTTACCACGCGAGCGTCCGGGAATCAAATCCTGGGTTGTGAGTGCCCCGGGTCAACCAAGACCCAGACCCAACCCACCAACCATGCGTGCCGCATCCAAAAAGGGATTGATCAACGGCAAATGCTTCATCCTTTATCCTTACTCCAGCTTGAGATCCAGCTGCAGTGGATATCTTCGTATTGGTTCCTCTTGGGACGCCAAAATTCTGATGTAAACGTCAAGAACCCTGCATTCACAAAGGTTCGCTTATCTCAGCGGCAGCCAAGGCGCATGAGAGAATCTTAACCGTCTCCAAACCGGAAACAGCCGTTGGCGTTGATAGATAGAGCGGTATGTTAGCATAAGAATCTCCCATCTGATTAATGGCCTCGCTATACGTCATTCATAGGCCCATCAACACCTGTTTCATGGATTAGATATGCGGCACGAGTTCTAATTTTCTGTGATGAAAATACCAGTTTCAAGAAAATATACTCACTTGCTATTCGGGCATATCCGGGCAGACATCGCTGTTGGTAGACGTGAAAAATCGAGGAAGTCTCTTCTATTTGTTCTTTTTCCTCTCGTTCTTCTCTGGACGAAGAGAATGAGTGCTGAGAAGTGAGTGCCACATCACCTGGAACACCTGGGATTGATCCTCTCAAGAACCCTTGAGAAAGCCTTGACATACCTGAACATTGGCCCGAATCGACGCTGAGGGTGCTGTCGGAACGCATGCTTTTTGGCGATGAAGGGGCGTGAGGCGGGACTCTGGGGATGTCGGACGATGAACGCTGACTGCAGCCGAGAAAAAGTCCGCATTCACAGGTCGTTCGCCCATATCGACCCAAAAAAGAAGGATGCGACCCACCTTGCTCCAACTTGTTCCCTCGATCCTTCCAAGGAATCTTCGTGATTCACTGCGATCATATGTCGTAACGCCATTTTCTTATTTACCACTGATCGCGAGCAACCATTCTTTTCAAATTTGATTCGTAACTGAAAAAATTGAACTACCCTCTCTATCAAACTTGCTGTTGGCTCCATAAGAATTCGAATCACTTAGTCAAGTCTTTATGGAGCCAATAAATTTATGAATTTTAGCGACGCATGCTATCTGCTGGTACTGGTCCAAAATTCTTAGTGAAGGATTAAAGGCAGCGGTGGCGCCGAGTGAGAGTCGGAAACGAGTTGGAC